GATGATGCTCATGCGTGAGGATAGCGAGCGCAGAGGTGAAGCTTGGCGTGCAGATGAAGACCAGCGCCGACGCGATGAAGTCGCAGCACGCGAAGCCCTACGCCACGCCGGGAAACTTGAAGCTGAAGAGCGCCGCCGTCAGGAGAAGATGGAGATGGAAGAGCGAGCCCGTCGCGATAAGGAGGAAGCCCGCGCGCGCTCGCAGGAGCTCATGTTCTACATTGGGGCTCTCGCCAAGATGGAGTGAGAAGAGCTTCGGGCAGTGCTTCCAACGTTAGAAGTATGTCTTAGAAACCAGCCCACAGAGGGAGGAAATTTATTTTGTAGCGTTGCATGTTGAGAACAGCCCTTCGTAGAGAGCAAAAACCCACAAATACGATCTCAAATTGTCTGTAATCTCCGCACGTATTCAACTCGAAAAAAAACTACTCATGAAAATGAAATCAGCCACTGTTCTTCAAATACACCATCCACTTCCCGTGCTATAGGGGAATCTCCATAGCGCCTATAAACACCGTCCGGATTTCCGAAATGCCAACTGTGCGGACTCGGTAATTTGCCAGTCGAAACAGATTGTTTAGTCGCAGTCCACGGAGGTTGGGGTCAAGGACAGCGGCAGGTTCAAGCGACTGTAGACCTTCTGTACGCTGCCCATGCCCCACTCCGCAGCCTGCCTCACTGAAGTGATGCCGTTGTGCAGTGTGCGCGCCGAGCTTCGCAGCAACGGTTGAATCCTCTCAAGGTCCCCGTCCTTCAACGGGGTTAGTATCCTTCCGGTCATTGCCGTGGAGCAGGGAAACGCCGAATCTGACACGACGTTCATCCTCACGTCCGGACAGTATGTAGGATCCAGTAGCTTCATGCAAAATCCCAAAGAGGTGTCTGAATCGTTCCAGGACCCAGGGCAGTTATGCTTGGACCAGATGATGCACCCGTCGGCGGCGAAGCAGATCGTGCCCGTGACCATAACGGAGTGTAGCCATCCGTTATACATTGCGTTTTGTAGGTCGGCATTAGATGGTTGCTGCACCTGAAACAAGAAGGCAGCAACGATGACATATTAATTAGCAAGTAGCAATAGCGAGAGTCAGTATGGAGACCTACACGGAAGTTCTTGCCGTCAATGAACCCGAAAGTGTGTTTCAACAGCGGCTCGTGGCCATTGACCAAAGTCGCCAGCTCTCTCTGTCGAGATGGCGACGGCCGTGAAATACGTGCCGGAGAGAAGTCCCGAAGGGCACGCGACAACGCGTCTTCGGCCTTACGTAGCGAGAGCGACAACGTACTGGGGGGAACCCCGAACAACATGCACAGTGTCGAGCTTTCCATTGATCTCACATAGAAGCAAAGCACGAGGCCTAGGGCTTGGTGGTGATATCGTAGCTTCGGTGGCCGACCTCGACTTCCCGCCGAAGGTAGGTGGTAGAACCGTGAGAATCTTCTGAGTAGTTTTTTGAAGGCAGCTCTGCGTAGTAAAAGAATAGCAGTTGTTACGAATAGTACCAATAATATCCACACACCAAAAAGCCTACCTCGTGAGGCTTGTAGCGTTGATGAAGTTCGTGTCTAGACCGTCCCGGTAAAGGGCCATCCACGCAGCCAAGCAAGGTGTATCCAAGCATGACACCGTCAGGTAGTGACGTGTGCGCATTGCAGC